CCCCAAAACCCCAAAACCCCAAAACCCCAAAACCCCAAAACCCCAAATCATTGATTCATGGTTGAGAAAATAATATTATATAAACACTGAGATTTATTAGCAAATGGATATCTAACCCAGTAGCTTAGAGGCATGCAAGCGAATGCAACATAGATTTGGGATTTAGAACTCCTAGGCTCAGTAGTTATTCTCTGAAGGGCTCCTTAGTCATTTTTAAAGTTAGAATCTGTGTGGGATATTCCAGGATAAGTATAGACACGAGGAATCGATCAGGAGTCGCACTTTGAAGAGATGACCAGAAGAAGGTAAAAGAGATAGTCTGGAAAAATAGGTGGTTACATTTTATGAACGGAGACTGTTCTTGTGGTAGGGTTGACTTGTTATTGCTAGGATAAATAAGTAACATACAAATCTATTACCTAACTCACTACCACTCAATTTAAGCCTTTCAACCCATAAGTCTCATTCTCCACTAACCAGACTGCTCTATCCAGCCAGTTTTCCTCCAGATGGTGCAAAGATGTTTGAACTCGATGTTACCCATAAAGAAACTTTCCTATATGATTATTTCCAAATTATAGACAGATTCTTAACAGAATGAACAAAATAAGGAACTACAGGAATTACAGAGGTTCATTCTCGAAGCTAGATATTTCCCAATTGTGAACATTAGTATGCACTTTCAATTATTTAGATAGTAAAGGTTACACTCTTCGTCTTTGAACTCTCTAGTAGTTCAGAAGACTTTAGGATACTCTTGGAATCCTTCAGGTTACACACTGAACTCTCAGTATCGACTGATGCCTTGGAGTAAGTTGAGCTGGTTCCAAAATCTTCTTCATCCTTCAAGTGCTTATTTCTAGAGGCAGTAGCTCTAGACTTGGCACAGGACTTGAGGATCTGACGACCAACTAACTTATTCTTCAAAGTATTCCTGCGAGTAATTGCGTTGATCTCAAAAGTATTGAATTTATTTAAGTCTTTTATATCCATTGGGATTTTTGATAGCATTCTAAGAGCAGCCTTTTTCTGTGATCGAGCATCCATAATGGTAGAGTACTGCATATAAGCTAGAGATAGTCACTCAGCGACTTACCAACAGAAGTAACAAGCATAGCTGGGAGTATAAACTTCTTCGCTAGAGGATTCACTCCTCTTGAGTACTGTCCATTTAGTTGAAACATTTTTATTAACTTCATTAAAATATTTCTTATATGGGGTTTTGGGGTTTTGGGGTTTTGGGGTTTTGGGG